TTATTATTATTATTATTATTATTATTATTATTATTATTATTATTATTGATTATTATTATTAATGATAATAATAATAATAGTAATAATAATAATAATTGTTATTATTATTATTATTATTATTGATTATTATTATTAATGATAATAATAATAATAGTAATAATAATAATAATTGTTATTATTATTATTTATTATTATTTATTATTATTATTATTTATTATTATTATTATATTTCCGTGCGATGTATCAATAACTGTTTCATCTTATCGTATGCAAATAAATGTAAAATATTGCAGGAAATAGTTCGTCGGAAAGATATTTTACCGATGTATACCGAAAGATGGATACGGTTTGAAAATCTTGAATTTCACAATACGGTTGAGCAGGAAACTTTTGAAAAGGAACAGGTGATTCGACTTTCACCCCCTGATGGATGCTTTTTTGAGGTATCATTTATTGTTCCGATATTTTATCCATGATTTAGACAGAATGAAGTAGTTATATATACAATTAAATCATTTCATTGCAAGAGACATTCCACTGTTTAACTTCGCTATCAGTTTCATTTATACGATTAAATAGTTTGAAATCCAGATAATTAAAAGGATTCGAGTTTTGATTATTTAGATTTGAAAATTAAACTAATATCGAGGATTCAAATAATTTAGATAGCAAAGGAGTTAATTTGTGCTTATAGTAAAAGTTGAACGTTCGAGAGTGCATCTACTTATCATATTATATAATTTGCATAAATTTTTTGAATTTTTAATTGGATTAAAACAAATCAAAACAAATGCGAATGTTATTTTTATAATCAATAGCAAATAATAGGAAAGAAAGATTAATGTGAACTTTGTAATGAGAATATATTTAAAATTATTTCAAATATTTTAAAATTTTAAACATTTAAAATAAATTGTTGTAAAAAATAAATTTTTCAACAGGTGATGAGATTTCGTGTAAGGCCACCAAAAAATCGCGAGAAACCATTAACAGTGAGATGTGTGATGAAAATTGCTGGTTCCAAGGTATATTTTAAATGCGACTTTGAAATTATCTTCTGCAAAGGATAATACTTTTATAGGGATCGAAGCTTTCTTTAAACTTTATGATATTTAGGTTGAAATTCGAATTGAAGCTATGGCAGCAGCACAAACAGAGAAAGCAAAAGGTGGTCTGAGTAATAAACGTCAAGTACCCTGTGAAGATATTCAAATTCGTTTTCCAGTACCGGAAGCATGGATTTATTTATTCCGTGAAGAACGACGATGGGGTGTTGGATCGGTACATGCAAAAGTGAGACGTCCGGGTAAAGTTAAGGTAACAAATTCATATCATTAACCATTCTTAATTACCTGCAAAATTTTCAATGTAATTTTCAATCTTTTTATTAGAAATTTTCTTTGATTTTTATTTTTACAACTTTTTGATGTATGAAATTTTGGATACAAATAACATTTATCATTTATTGCATCTAAGCTAAAATATGAATAATTATTAATTTAAGCTATCTGGTAAATTTTAAAATTTCTTTCATCAAATTTTAGAATCTCAAAGATCGTCTAATGGGTACGGTACAAAATGTTGACAATTCACTCATCGAAGCAGCTATTGGTGAAGCAAAATATGAACATGTTTTTCGAGCTTTAGTATGGCGTATTCCACGTCTTCCAGAAAAATATCACGCTGCATATAGGGAGCATTTATTACGTTGTCGTTTTGAACTTTCATCATTTGATCTAATGCCTGAAACATTTACACCAACATGTGATGTGGAATTTACAATGCCACTTGCAATGATCAGTAATACAGTGGTACGATCAATAAGCGTTGAACAACATGAAGATAGCGATCGGGTGGAAAAATTCGTACGATATGTGGCAAAGTGTACATACAAAGTTTGTTGTTATTATGCAACAAAAAACAACTCAATGAAATCTTCACTTGATTTAAATGATGAAATTAATTAATTAATGTTAATCAAGAAATATGCATTATCCAATTACGATCTTTTGATATAGGTTTCTTTGAAAAATAAGCAATCTTAAAATATGCTATCTGATTGAAGTGCTATATTTTTGTTGTTTTTGTTTTTCATTATGCATACATCATGCATTCCCATATTTATTTTCTTCAGGTTGAAATAGATTATGTTCAATGCTCTGATTTGGACACTGATGCTATATTTGATCCAACTGTAGCTAATCCGGCAGCCAATCAGGAAAATATACTTGAACCCCATAAAGCGATGTTTAATCCAGAGGAAGTGAAAGAATTACATGGAGGGTACAATTTTACCTGTTTGTTTAAATAATTCATTAACGATTGGAAGTATCCTTCGATCTAATTCTCCTTATCAGTTAAGCAATAATCAAATGTGAAAGTGCTAATTTGAATCCAGTACTTTTTTGCATATTCAAATTTTAATTTTAGATACAGGATCGATTTTTCCGATGCAGAAATTGGTGCTAAAAGGCATAATGGTGCGGACTCAAGTAGTGATGAAGAGGAGGATCAAAAAACAGTGCCAATGATTCAGATCGATCCGAAAGGATACAGTTACTAATGAAATTATTATAGGAGATTTCACAATATTAAATTTGCTATTACTGATTGGAACATTAATTTTCATATTTCGTAAATTGAGTGGTTCGAAAATTCCAATTCTGACAATTCAATCAAAATAATTTGTAATACATAGACTTCAGTACTTTTCAGTGGTTTAGTGCTGTTTCAATCTTTGATGTAATCGTTTAAAATAATCTTGAAGATAAGGAAAGATCAATTGTTCTTGAAGATGCTGTTAATTTTTATATCGTAATTATCGTCCAAATTATTATTAGAAATGAAGAGAAGCTCAAAAATTGTAACTAATTATGCCATATAATGGTAAATCTTAACGTTGAAATCAATAAAAAGAAAAAAAAACGGTTTGTTTCCCAAGTTTAATTACAAATTTTCATTATTATGAAATTTGTGCTTCACAGTGACAAGATAATTAGCATTGTTTTTCATATTAGATGATTATAGGTAATAATTAGAACAATTTAAAAAAGTACTTAAGTAGGACTAGTTAAGAAAAAGATCTTTTAATTAGAAAAGCCTCCCTTTCTTTAAATTTATAATTTATGTCTGTCAAAATTTTGAAAATTTTTTCACATTTTCGCAGGAATTATTTATTATTTCAAAGAAATATTTTTTTATGTTTAAAGGGAAGAAAAAATTGCTATAGCTATTGACAATGTGCAGTGATTAGATAAACCTGTTTTTGGTTCACATTCAAAAATTAATGAACAGATTTGAGCGAATTATTCACCTTGTGGTATTTTTAATTCATTTTATTGTCTATTAGGCAAAGTTAAATTTAGATCAACATTGGAGGTGAAAATTTTTGTCAATTTTTGATGAAATACTTTTCTCTCTCCTCATCCACATCATCAATACATCTTTTCATTTAAAATCTTAAAATTTTTTAAAATTTTTGAAATTTTACATCCTAGCAAAAATTTCAAAATCTAATTTCTCGGGATTCCATGACATATTTTTATAATTAATGTTAAGTGTCACTGAACTTTTCCAGAGCTTATCAATTTTTCATAATTTTTCATTTTTTTTTTTTGCTTGTAACTAATTTTACTACTTTATGTCTCATTATATGGCATTGACTAAACAATTCATTCATGCAATAATAAGTTTTTCACGAATAAATTTTAAATAAATTGGTCGTTATCCTTGGTCAACTTGCTATCCCATAATTCCTGAACTGGTATTTGTATTAACAAAAACTAATAGACAAATGAGAAATGCTTACAGAATGATTTCTGATATCACGGGGGATATATGATATATGATTAAAAAAGACGAAAATAACAGCTGGAAATTATATTGTTTCAACCTTTATATTTTGAATTTTCTACATTAAGCAATACTTTCAGAATAGCAAAACCGAAAGGAAAGAACGAAATAATCACTTCTGTTTGAATTTTTTTAAATCGTTAAAAAGATTTAAACTATTACGAAATATATTTTTACCAAAAAGTAACGAAATTGATATCGCCAAAGCATTTCAGAACTTCCATCAAATGAGTTTGTAGGAAATCCATTGATTACTTATACTATACTTGGCAAAGAATGATTTGAATGGAAAGTATTTTGTTAAATTCATTTTGTCTAGACGATTACAAAAGAAAGAAAAAACCAAAACCATCGACTCAGTTGTTTAGACTTTATGTCTTTGATATGAAACATTTGAATTCAAATTTAAGTTTGAAGATGATGCTTTCCTTTATGTTAACAATCTAAATGAAATTAATATTTGCTAATTTTTGACTTGACTGTTTTGACTTGACTGTTCTTT